TAATAAACAGTGTTTTTGATTTCACTCAAAAGTTAACTAACAAACCATGCTAAGAAGTTTAGAGAGTAAGCTAAAGTAGTCAGAGGACTTTGATGGAATTCAAGTTGGCAACAACTAATAGCTCTTATCCTAGGATGCTCCAGTAATCAGCCATGTCASTAGAGACCATGACTTGCTGAAAACTCAGAGCGCAGAAAAGAGCCCAAGAGAGCAGTGGGACAAGCACAAAGAATTTAMACATAAAGGGATTCTTGTCAGTCAACCTAAACTTGGAACAGGGCTAGGATAATTTTTATAAAATTCCCTCTGTAAATGCATATGACAAAGTAACCAAGCAATAGCCAATATGAATTTGTCAGGAAAAAAAAGTATGCTGTACCTCACTATGCTGCATTTCTTTCTTAGTGAAAAATGGCCAGGTGGCCCACAGGCACACAAGATCCCGAATCTCCCCATTGCTGTAAATGTCTTTGTCAGTCTGCACAGTGCTCACAGATGAAGTATGGTGCTTCACAAAGAGAAGCAGTACAAAGTGCTCCCAAGAAGCAATTACCACAGGTTTACTGGGAGTCTAGGAAGATACTCAAGCAAGGTCCTGCAAGGCATTGCCGGATCTATCCTATCAGTGTATTCATGAACAGACTAATGAGTAAAGGAGGACATCTGCAATATTCCCTATACCACACTTGAATGAACCCTTAACAGTTTGGTCTGAGATCCATTAGAGGCAGGTATGSAGTCACTAAATAGAGGCACAAAGTRGAAATTATCAGTGGTAGCAAAACGAATCTGGGATATCGTTGCWGAAAGGCTACTACAATTCCAGTGTATGCAAGTGCCAGACCTTAGTCATTCCAGCTCCTCCGCACAAGCCTCAGCCAGCATTTTGGGTCATATTTTGGGCCATACGATTTAAATGCACAAACTGCAGAGGATCCAATGCACCAACAATTACCAGTCTTTGAATCATCTTCATAGGTCACATTTTCTATTAACTGGCCTCACTTCGAAGACTAGGAGAATACAGTAGCGATGTTCAAATGAAGGCACTATTTATCACATCTATTGCCAATAAGAACAGTAAGCAATTGTTTTAAAGGAGCATGGATAAACTCTTGCKGTGACAACTCTCCACTTGTATGGTTCAGCAGTGATACATGCTGCTTACAAAGTCATGGGACCCCTCTCATTGGAAACTACTAAGAGTTAGAGAAACACTTAGTACTTCATCTTTTGAAGTGTACTTCAATCTGGCAGATTTTATCCAGTCTCAGAATAAGGAGATGGGGATAAATTCCTGAGATTTCCCTTAATCCATAGTCTTCTGAAAGACTTCCAGCTTTCAGTTATGCTTTGCACGCTGTGATTTTGTAACTGCTACAAAGAAACACACAAATACGTTTGTCATGCCATTAAAGTGCTGCATGGACCTTAGCTTTATGTATTTCATGGACAGTAYTTCTCAGAGGAAAGCTGTGCCATATTTCCTGAAAAAGCTGTGACTCAGCTTGAACAGATTCCTGTTAGGTAACTATGTTGGGACAACTATAGATTCCTCCTTTCCCAGGAACCCCAGTGTGAAAAGCTGTGTAAGAGAATTATAAAACATACACCCAACCTAATCTACTTTTTTTGAAAGCTATGAAGACAACACAACTCCCTCAGTGAGTCTCTATTGTGCCTTATCTATACAAAACCTGTAACACAACAGACAACGTATTAAAAGTTGTCTTTAAAAGTAAAAAAAATAATTTTACAAATGAACAGAAAAATTCCAGAGACAGCACTTGACACCCTCCCTGTCTGGACTACAGCAAAATTGCTAATGATGYTACAGGTTAGGTAAAATCACATACCGAATGTCTGCGCAAAGTGAGTTTTGGAGCGGAATTCAAAGTCCACTGCAAAACCTGTAAGGTTCTAAACTAGTAAATCAAAGGCTGCCAAATTACACACAGCAGAGGGTGGCTGAGTAGACAGAAACTGACCTTCACTTTCGAATCTCTAGGACCGACCACATTTACTTGTCAGATCCTGGAAGATCATGCTTCTAGTAAAGCCCAGTGATTCCCAACCTGTTTCTGTGAAAACGGGAAASCCTATCAGTACCTGAGGATAAGACATTCCACCTATTAGTTCTTCTTACCAAGATGGAAAATATTCCAATATAATTTACAGAAATGCTACAAATTCCCTCATTACTATGTGGTTTGCAAACAGCCTGTGGTCATTAGCTTTACTTACTTAAGTGTTTTCAGCAAATAACCAAAAGGGATTGTCTCCAGGGATGTTTCAAGCGCACTGCATAAAACTATTTCCCTAAAGCTACACAACAACTGTCTTCAACTTCTGTCTTGAATTTTTCACGCAGCTTTTTGATAGTAAGAAACCAGAAGCCCTTAGATAGGTAAAGAAGCCCTTAGATAGGTAAAGAAATAAGCCTTAGTAAGTCCGGGTACAAAAATTGTAAAACCGTTCTTGATTACCAAGTAGCCCCCAAAGATGGCCTCATCATAACCACACCTGCTAACTTTTACTCTCTGATCTAAAGTGAGATTTTTTTGCGAACATTTTAAGCCTTGTTTAAAATGCAACTTCAGATGCTRCCTAGATTCCCAGATGTGGACTTCTGAAAATCCAAAATCCCTCTTAAAACTGCTCCACAAGTATCCATGACAGCTAATGTCCATATTGACACAGTAGGAGCCCTTTAACTGGATGCTGACTCTGCACAAAAATGAACCTTTCTCAAGGGAATACAGCAAACTTTCCATGTCTACTTTTCTTGCACAGTTAGACAGCTTCAAGTTACATGGCTGTCTACAGCCAGGAAATTAATTTTCTAGGTGCAGCAATACTTGATTTTAAAAGCAGGCAGAAAATATGACATTTTACATTTTAAATTTTTAATTCTCTTTAATCAGACACATTACAATGCACAACTGTGTCTTTAGCCAGGTACCAAGGTGTGCTATCTTTCAGGAGAGAGGAAGGACTAGTCCTTCCTATCATCTTTCAGTATTGCAGGTATTCTAACTGAGAACTATTGCCACATTTAGTACAACTTTTATAACAATTCAGTCATTGCTTTCATTTACTTCTRTAATTGAAATGGCTATTGTAGCTGGAGATTTTATTGAAACAAGGGTCATCCTTGCCTTCCAACAAATAAACCCTATCATTTCATAGGGTATTTTCAACTTGAGCGTTTTAAGAGTTTYGAAAACACAATTCTGTCTGAAGGTAACCGTCCCACTAATGATGCAGCTTTCCAGCTCTTCAGTGCTCATTAACAGAGATTGTTTATGAAACAAGTCTTTTATTTAATGCTACACAATCTGAATTGAAGGAATAGAACATTTACTTCACCTCAGGCCCAAGCTTTAGGGATACATCCCCAAACATTTTCAGTAAAACCAGTTTATCAAATACCAATCAGCGCAAGAAACATCTTTGCCATTTCTACTCAGCGTATTTTTAGACAAACTACAGCATGAGAACATTGAAGTACCTCTCCCCCATACAGCACACAGGTTAAAAGCAGACTTCTTGCTTTGTGGAGCCAGTTTGTCAGGATGTATGTATTGATGACATTAACGAAAAATAAATGAATCATTACATTCTGATGTCAGGTGTACAAGTGCAGTAGTGGATTACGCTGAGGAGAATAACATTATCTATAAAAGTTAAGTGGTATACAGGTTATCCCGGAGTGACTATAATACAGAGAAACTTTATGCCAAAGTAAGTATTTACAGAGATACTGTCACAGCAAAGAGGACAGGAAGCTAGTCTCACAGAAGTAGTTCAATAAAGAGCAAATGAGTGGACGAAGACAAAGGCTTTGACTTTATATAATAAAATACCAAGTGCATTCTTTTAAGTGAATGAGTCTTTGAGACTATGGTCCTAGATTTCAGGAAGCCATTTGAAGGTCAGATGTGTAGTCCTGCTGCATAGCAAGGGTTACTTGGACTGCCAGAATTTTTACATCCGTTGTAAACTCTGCAATTCACAGCAATTCTAGTACTGCTTCTTACTGCAGGGTCAAAACTAAAGCTCTTAAATAAGCCCCCGCCAAAATGCCAAAGATGGGATTTTGTGTAGTAGACCTTCCAGCACAATTCAGATGTTTCTCTGCTACTTTTGTGCTGTACATCTGGGATTAGAACACAGCCCAGAACACTTTAGGGGTAATTATGTTTATCTGCTCAAATGTTCTTGGCCAGAGTTATTATCCAGCTTTTTCTTGTCAATGCAACTTTAATCACATCCGATTTCTTTAAGTAGYCATATTATTTCAGTTACTTTGGCTTTTTTCCAACAGGCTTATTTTAAGCTGGTTGTGAAGGCAGGTTATTAATGGCTGGCTATTTTATGTATTCCTTGAAGAAAGAAACAACCAGACACATTTGAGGGGGAACATGTGTGGTTGACTGCTCAAAATATCATTAAAAGTATTTTTAAATCCAGTTTTCAACTAAGAGCAGAGTTGCTTTAACCTAGTATTTGCAAGCATTTTTCAAGCCAGCATTTCAATCTTGCTACCTCTCAAGCTTCCTCAGCCATCTACCTAAATAGAAAGGATAACAAGTATAACCAGAGTCCCTCCAGAGCATGACTTCAAGAACATGATCCCTCACAGTACAGGAATCCCATTTGAAATGGCTTGCAGTACTTAAGACTCCAGTACGTAGGACAAAAACGTAAGAGGATGTCTCATGGTTCTCATGCAGCTGCTCAGGCGTGTGTTGTACCTGGAGCCATCAGCTTGATCAGTAGGGGCTGGGCTCAAGCGGGCAGCACACTGGACAGTAAATCTGAGCAGCTTCCCTCTCCACTTTAAGATTAATTTACTGTAATGTACATTACTTTCAGTGGAATGATACTGCTCATGTTTTGGCAGGATGGGAAAATTCCACTTTTGTCTTTTTGAGTATTTTATAAGGCAGATAATGCAGAAAGGTGAAACAGAATTTCTACAAGGAGTTAATCTGTGATATTGTAAAATCAAAGTACTACTTTATTAAGTGAGTTATTTTACACAATATGAACATCAATATAATTACAATTGTAAAAAATTTTTTATAACAAGTATGGACTGATTTTTTAGGATTTCCAAATAGGGCACAACTGTACATTTACACAGAATTGTCTTTGCATGAAGCCCAAGAGGGAACAGCATAAAAATATGAATGTTTCTGTAGCCCCTTCATTTTTGCTGATCAACAGTTTTAGAAAAGCAGCTGCAGGTTTGTTATGTAAGGTCTGACAGTAGAAGAGTCAATAGGTGTCATGACTTCACCTATAAAAAACAAGAACAACTCAGTTAAGCTAAACCATTACACAATGCTGCTTATCTCTGCATGAATGAAATACCATACTACTGCTTTTTACCTCACTTCAGCCTTTTATTAGAACCATTTTCAGTTACAGCCTAACAACTGGCTACTGGGAAATCTCTTCTACAGTTAACACAGAAATTCAGATTTTTCTGCATTCACTTGCATAGCTTCACAAACAAAAAGGCTTAATTGTYGGAAATATACTAAGTGACTGTTTCCATTACATGTTTTGTAGCAACAGACAGATTGTACTTCGGTATTTTGTTCGAAGAAAAACTAACATTTCAAGCAAGAACTAAATAATGAATTATTCCTATAACATTAAGAATGACTACTTTAAATAACATTAATCCCTTTCTGAAACACCCTCTGGGCACAGTGAAATGCCACAGCCATTTCACCCATGTTAGAACTAACTTGCTTCTTGCTTCTCCTTTTAACAGTTCAGGGTTATAATTGAATACAGTAGTTTTCATAATAAAAGAACTGAAGCAAGTATTAAATTCCAGTTGTTGGGGATAAAAACCCCTATTTTTAATACACCTTTCTCAGACAGTCAATTAAAAATTAAGGTAATGACCTGTAGACAACTTTATGCCTGAACATCAGCCAATTCTGGAGGAAGTGGAGTCTTAGGATGCTTGCTTTCAAAGTGCTGTTTGAAGGTCTTGGGATCCGGCATTTGAGTCTGATTAAAGAGAGACATTAAACTTTATGCACAGAACAAGAGTTAAATAATACTACAAAACCTAATCCCTGCTATGTTTTATTTTCTATCCCCGGAAGCCAACTGTCTCCTTGATGACACTGCTCTAGCKATAGAAGCACCACTAATTTAGCTGGAGGGCAAGATGGAGTACTTAACCGCTTATTTTCAGAAGTGCTTTTAAGTACTACTATCTCACTTGTTTTGGCATGTCCATCAATGGTGTTATTCTTGCTAGATATCTCCCTGCACATCTTACACTTCACAGTCTGGTTTGGTGGAAAACRTATCTCCTTATCATTTTCTTTTTCAATACCTTAAAGATGAACATTTATCATTTTCAGAATCAAATCTTTATGAAAGCTATTTCTTTTGTTTACCAATAGACCAAAAAATCATATGCCATGAACCGATTCTCTACTTGGCACAAGCTGTCTCAGACCTTTGCTGCAACACAGTTGTAGGCATCAACTGCCCAAAGTGATTGATACTACAGCCTGATTTCACAACAAGAGGAGCTGGTTACAAATACTTAAGTGAGCAATTCTCAATTTGGAATCTTATTTAAGACATTTAAAGTGACAAATCTATTCTGGGGCTGACCATTTAAGTGAAAATGGTAAGTTTATTCTTCAGCTCTAAACACAGCATTCAGGAAAACCAGCCAGAAGAAAAAGTACAATCTGATTAGTTTTCTTGTCAAGTAAGCTATTCTAGCAAAAGTTACTGTGTATCAAGCTTACATAAAAGTTTTTGGCACTATGGCTTTTCCCCTCTACAGCAACATCCATAACCACTGATTCCAAAACAGGCCAATTCCATCACAGAGAAAATGTTTCCTTCTGAAGACAAAACAGGAACCGACCTCACACTTTTCACATTTTGTATCTCATACTAACAGCACATGCAGACCATTACAAAAGGCAAAATCACTGTTCAAACCAGACCTGTACATGACCTCTCAGATTTTCTATGTCAATTATCAGTACAGCTGAGTAACCTGTAAGCAAGTCACATAACAGATGCAAACGCTTCTTATAGCAACAAGCTAGACAACCAAATAAGGATTTTAGTTTTCACTATAAAATCTTCTAAAAATCCTGTTCTAGGCAGTAAGACAGACCTCTCCCTATAATACTCTTGACTTCAGTTCCTCTTACCCTACAGACAGTGCAGGTATATATCAAGGCAGCCTTGGCTGCAGCCTTCTGATCATGTCCTTGTTTCTTTTTTTGCTCAGCTTGCTTTTTGGCATTTTTCTGCTGCGACTGAATCTTCTGCTGTCCACGAGCCATATCTACAAACAAAAAGAAGACATTTAGTCTACAAACATGAGAAACCACTGCTACTATCTGACTGAGGAGCTGTAACCATGAGCACAATGCAGTCATGCGCTCTGTCCACAAGGCCTACAACTCCCATAACTCAAACACAACAGACATCTGTTCCAGCTCTTTGCTATGTAAAGCCTCTGGGTTCAGTATCATTCTTAAAATACACACCACAATTATTAGGCCATTCTAAGGTTTTTTCCTCTGCTAAGATTCAAATTCTACTTAAGAGAARTGTTTCCCATAATCAGAATAATTAAAAGTTTCCTTTACAGTTAATAGAAACTTACTCTCTATTTCAAAAGGTACAGAAAAAATCAGGGATTTTTCCTGTTTTTTTGTGGGGTTTTTTTTTTTTTTTTTTTTTTTTTTTTTTCTTAAAGCTTACGACCCAACCTGTATCTCTGGAACTTGAAAGAAGTTCCAAGAAAGGCAAATGAAAGTATTACCCATGGTGCACTATTGTCTTCTCTTGTAGGTGCTTGTGAGATGTTTTGGACTTGGGAACACCAAAAACAATAGGTCACCCCTCTATATTGAAGGCAATTCTTACAGGTGGCCATTGTGTTTTTATTTTCAGACACATTTATGTGCATTTGTATTTCTTGAAAAGAAAAAAGACTACCCCCATCAGAAGTCATTAGTCTATATAACACAGGAGCACAAAGGAAGCAAACACTATTGCCATATGCCATTACAAGGTCCACCAGAAGCTGCAAGGAGACAAAAGAATCACATTTCAGGGAGCATCAGGACACTGCATTTCACAACACCAACACTCCACCTGCACACAGCCCACCAGTACACCCAATTTCAGTCTGTGCCCCACCCCTAGAGCAGACACGAGACATGATTTGGGCACACCAAGAGAGCAGGATTCAGAGTGTGGTTATATAACCCAGCAGCCCAATTTCTGCTATTGTCTTTCTCTCAGTCCCTCATGGCCCACGCACGGTTCAGTTGTGCAGCTCTCTCAAAAGGACAATACTGACTGCCCAAGCACAGGACAGCCAGCAAAGKCCACTGCTGTCAGACAAGTCCCATGTTCCCAGGAGAGCAGCTGCTTGGTCTCTGCCCCTCTAGGTAACCTGGGCACTTGCCCCAAGTYTGGCACTTGTGGGACAGACACATTGCACGGCTATACCAGGCCTGTCATGCGATCTTTCCCATCAGGACAGGCAGCCTCCCACTGTGAGAGAAAGRCCTATCCAAATAATGACTGACCTCTAGTAAATATGTCAAAGGTCCTTAGGAACGGTTATGAAAATGAAGATTCTATGAAACATCAACATGTGAAAATTCACTGGTATTATGGAAATTTTTAGACATGCGCCTTATATGAGAACAAAATAATGGCCCTGAGACCCAGAAGAGCTCTTGTGGATTGAGAGGCACCTTTCAGGCCACAGCTGGTTCTTTCACGGTATCAAACATCACCATGTAACCCTCTGCAGAAGTTTTACACTACATCTTCAGTGTTCCCTACTCTTCTCCCAGCAGTTTCTCTAAAAGATAATTCAATTCAGAAATCCATACAGCTAACAAAATTGAACACAACACAAATTCCATTAACAAGCAGATAGAAATACATGTGGCATACAAAACTTTCTATAAGATACARCACTGAATGTTAGTAAGACTGCAAGTGCCAGCCTATGTTTCCCTGGATGCTACAACTACTCCAGAACACCTCAGCAAGGGCCTCAAACTGTTTATATACAGCACARCTCAACCAGAAGACTGGATTCCCACTTAAAATTAAAAAAAATGAAAGAAGATACATTGCCAATAGCTTCCCATACACTAGAAAGAATTGTAGGTTCTATTTCACTTCTGTTTTCCCAGCATTACAGCAATAATTCAGAAGTCAGAGGGTTCCCGACAGAAAATACTCAGATGCAACAAAAAAGGATTTTCATAAAGTGCCCCTATATAACTTTGTATTTTAGTGCCTTGATARGTACTACATTACAACAGCCAACCACAGGGAGCTTGTACTAGGTAATTGCTCGTTTTATTTAAGTCACAGACAAGAAAATAYGACTATAAACATTGGCTCAAAAGTAACAACCACCATACAATGCCCGAGACCAAAAAGCTAAGAGTTTAAATACTGCCAGCTACCTTAATACAGCTAAAACACAGAGTGCTCCTGAAACAGTGAAAATTACGATTTAGAATGTTATTATTCTAAGAAAGTGACAAAAAAATCCAGTATCTCTTTTAAAAGACTGATGAGCTCATCTACAAGGCCATATCAGCAATTTCAATTGCACAACGCAGGTTAAGTGTTGTTTTTCCTATCAGGCACACCCTCACAGAGTCCAGCAGAACAGACTGCTGTCTCCAAATAAAGAACGCGCGAGCACGTAGGAAACCGAACACACGGAAAAAATCTGCTGCCAAACCGTAGCGGGATTTTTTGCTGCCAAATCATAACAGCAGCAGGAGCACAGGCACTGTCGRGAAGCGAGGCTGGAACCCGCACCACATCCGTGCCTTACATGGGGTCATTTCCTTGTAAGTAACCAGAACCCGAGCCGAGTTTCAAGTCCTAAAACTGGACGCCGACAGCTGCTTCCGCTGTCACTTCCAGACACACACAGCGGCTCGAGGCACCGCGGCCTCCTCGGCCTCCTCGGCCGCGGGCAAAGGGCTCGGGGGCCGCTGGGCGAGAGACGCCACGGCCCGGGCCCGGGCTGCGGAGCGCAGCGACCGGGGGCGGGCCCGGCGCGGCCGCAACCCCACCACGTGCCCCACGGGAGGGAAGCGACCACGGAAAGACGGACGGGCGGAGGCCGCAGCCGGGGAGCGGCGGGCCGGGATCGGAGCGCGCCCCGCTTCTGGGCCGGGCCGCCCCTTCCCCCCGGCCCGGGCCTCCTCCCCTCCCTCCCCTCTCCTCCCCCCCGCCCCGCTCCGCTCCGTTCGGCTCCGCTTCCCCTTCCCCGGCGCTGCTCACCCGTGCGGGATCCGGGCTGGGCGGCCCTGCCGAGCGCTGTGGAGGCTCCGCGCGGCCCCGCCGCCGCCGCTGCTCGGGAGGAGAACGAGGAGGAGGAGGAGGAGGAGGAGGGACCCGGGCCCGGCACTGCGCGCGCGCCGGACCCGCCCCCGCGTCCGCGCGCCCGGACGGCGCTGGCCAATGGCGGCGCGCGGCCGTTACATAAGGCGGGCGTGGGGGCAGGGGCGCCGCCGGCTGCGCAGCGGGGAGATCGCGGAGCTCGGGGGGCCGCGGGTTCGGGGCCCGGCGGCGGAGGGTCCCGCGGGGTTCCACCGCCAACAGCCGGACTGGGTGGCTGGAGCTGCCAGGCCCGGCCTTGGGACCCTCGGGAGGAGGGCTGCTCTCGCTGCGGGCAGGGGCGCGTCGGAACCCCGCCTGGGCGGGGTCCGGTCCTGGGGCGCAGCGGGATCACCGGGACAGGCGGCCCCGCCCCGCTGCCGGGAGCGCAGCCCTGGCAGCCTCACGTACAGAGCCCTGGCTCCCGGTGCCGCAGTGCCCGGGATGCGGCCGCGCTGCTCTCCGACCGTCGCCGCTTCCCGRCGGGCCCGCTCCCCGCCACATTCCKCTGTGCTTTGCCTACAGGCGTGGCCTAAAAATAGTGCTGTTGTGCTCAGTGGATCCAGATAAATGGCTCAGGAGAGGCTATCGGGAAGGCGCTGGAGAGGAAGCCAGGCAGGGATGGCCGAGAGGATGAGGATCCTGTTCTGGYTGCAGTTCACACAGAAGGCTCGTTTGTAGGCTTGAAGGGTTAAGTGAGTTGAAAGCAGAAGGAAACGCCCTGCGATGAGGAGCAGAATTTTATTCAAGTTTAAAATGCACTAGATCTGGTTTGGATACTTTGGACAAGGATCACAGAAGAAGTTTACAGGCTGTATCCACAGCATGTGTGATTTGGAAGATACTGGCTTGTGTGAGTATAGATGTAGGCAGGCCCTCTAAGGAAGCACAGGCTTATTGTCTATGGAAGTCCCATCCCGTAGGATTCAGCCAAAGGAAGGCTCAATGTTTGTGCCTCCTCAGATTATACACCTGTTAGGAAAAGGTGAAATACAGGCAGCATCTCTGCTTAGAGATGACATTCTGCCACTCAGTGAGCAATTTTAGCTTCAAAATTAAACTGGCATCTTGAACAAGTGTGTGTCTGGGGCAAAACAGCAAGCGTAATATGCATACCAGAGGAACTGTGAGGTGTGGGCTTGACGTTTTACAGAGCTTAGGCTGAATGACTAATGCTCTGATCCAAGAGAGTAAAATGCAGCAACAGCAAAAAAAAATCCCTAAAGAAGTGTGGTGAATGTTTTAGACCATTGTCCTGAATCTTAACCTAGAGCATGTTGGCAGTTATGAGGGAGCTCTATAGCAAATTTCTGACRCTTAAGTCATTGGCCAATTTGAGAGGATGTGGCAACATCTAAGACAGTCAARCTAATAAAGAATTCATTTCCTAACATTCTTAAAAAAAAAAAAAAATCTAATATTCCTGTTATGTCTTCTGTGTTAAACTGATAGCACTTAGAATGCTTGTACCAGGGCAGTGCAATCCACACTGCATTGAAATGATCTTGTCAGTAGGTTCTGAACTTTACGGAAATAGGYAACTATAAAAAAGAACACTCAAAGGGCATATGTGCTTGTACTTGTGGGGTAGTGGGGAGAGGGAGGCATTTTGTCCTGTGCTTTCAAGCAGGTGGCTTGAAATGAAGTTTTGCTTTCATCAGGGAGGAGATTGCTAAAGTGAAAAAGCAGCTTCCATCCTGGCTGATGTTATTTTTGAAGACTGCTGTCCTTCTATGTGGAACTGGAGAGGGTTTGTCAAGGGTTGTGTCCCCATACAATGGCATTGCTATACACCTAGCTGGACAAGAATTTCAGATAAAGCAGACCTCCCAAGCACATGCTGAGTTCTGGCTAGTCTTGGAACCTTTTTCTGCTTTTAGGAGAATAAAGGATAGATCTTGCCGGACAGGGCACTGTGGCTGTCTTTGCTCTGTCTTCTGTCCCTTTGTGCTGTAGATTCTGGTCACAGMATTGGTCTCTGTATTGCCCAAGTCATGGCTTTGCAATTTAGATGGTTCCAAAGAGGAGGRAAAAAAAAGAAGAATATAAGTCCCCATAACTGAGATTTCTGCTACTAAGATAGTAAGGAAAACTTCCCATTCACTACAGATAATTTTTCAATATAGATTCACCRCATGAAACTTATTTGTCACACCAAAGGGGATGTTTCTATGCACATGTGCAGGTTAGCAGAGAGACATGGGGTAGATGTGGTGAGCTGTTAAGGAGGCAAGGCGGGTCTATGCACTGGATGCTTTGCATAGCTTAGAGAAAATGAACCTGAGGTAATTGCAGTTGRTCTGGCTTATGGACTTCCTCTGCTTTGTGTTGCTCCCACATGAGGTGAAACAAGCCACAGTGTATGAACAAAAGTATAATTAGGAGATAAAATGTAAAATAAATGCAAACTTCTGASTGAAATGTTGCATCTTAAAATTACTAGAAATACACTGCAGCACTTTTCTGTTGTTGCTTTCTAATATAAAAACATCTCCCAAACCCCACAGATATTACCAAGTACGCTGCATTAAAATAGAGTGAAAAACAAGAACATCTCTCAGTAGTTACAGGTAGACCAAATGCAAGGTGTTTATTTCCCCAAGCCAGGCCTTAAAAAAAGGGTTCGGTGGTTACAATTTGCTGAAATCTGTAGAAGCATATGCATAGAAAACACAGTTCCTTAGGGATGTG